TTGATTCCCCATAGTCTCAGCTGTAATGGCCAGGTCTCCTTCACTTATAACAGTTACCTCTTTCAGGTATCCTTGGGAAGAAGTTCTTATTTCATACGTGTATTTCTCTGTAGTGTTTGGTAATATTTCCTTTTATGTTACACTTAAAACACTTATTGTTATGATTCATTTCCTCCATTCTGTGCAACTAGTTGTCTAACGTATCCACTTACTTCTTCTAGACTCATCAGCAGGAGTTAGTGCTTCCTTACTACTAGATTTGATGATCCTGTAATTTTGAAATTGGGTCTTTAGTTGTTTACCTGCGGCTTACTAGATTCTAGTTCCATCTCCAACAACAGAGCTTCAGCCTAACTCTCATATTCTCATCTGTCATGGCACCTATAAAGTATTCACGTTTTAATGAATCCATCACTGCACAAAGAGCATCCAGGTAAGATAATTGCACAAACCTTTCAAAATTTTCTATAAGTTTGGCTAAGGTATCTTCTTTCCTCTATGCCTTGTTACAGAACTTTGCTCTGGATAATTCTTTGTTATGTCACTCCATGCGTGCTGGATAAGGTAAGCAACCAATGCTTGATAGTTGTTATGGCTCTCAGCTGTAAAGTTACTTAATGTTTTCAAAGCTGGTCTTTTTAAATGTGCAGCAAGATGAATATGTTGTTTTCACTATTCTACCTGTTTCACTTGGAAAATTACTTTAAACTGAGCCTGGTATGTTTCTCGTGGAACCTTTCCATCATAGTCTGTTGGTTTCACAATTAGCCAATGTTGAGCTGACCAGCTGAAATATGGAACTGAAATGGTAATGGTATGGCTGGAGTAGTCCAAAATGTTCTTGCAGTAACAGATGACACAGTAGTAGGGGTAATAGAGGTAGATAAAATAAGTTCTCCTATTCCATAGTTTGTAGTAAATGGTGTTTTACATTATAATTTTTGGGGAAGTACTAATTTAATCTTTGCATTTAACAATTCGTTTTCCAGATGTACTCTATCACTGATATTCTTTTCTACATCGTTAATACCTTTTTACAATAAACTTAGAAAAGAAGAACTACCTTTACTCTTCAGATAATAATAAAAAGATTTTCATTTCAGCCAATGTTACACCATTGTGGCTTCATTAGGACTTTATCTATTTTGTCCTTGTAGCCTTGCAGTACTTCTTCGATGTCCTTCTGCACTTCTTCAAAACTTTTGTTGTAATCCCTCTGTACATCTCCAATAACTTCATTGATTTTGTCTTAATTAGATTAATTTTTAATTTTTCTTTAAGTATTTCCTCTGTTTACTTTTAACTTCTCTCTTAAATTCCTGTCTATTACCTCTTGATCAACTTTCTATAAATTTCTTCTTATTTTTTTTAATGTTCTATCTTTTCTCTTATAGATCTTCTAATTTTCTGTCTCGTTCTTCTTGGCCCTCTTTTCATAAATTTCATCACCTTCAGTAACACTTCGATCTTGCTAGTGGATCTAGTTACCATGTCAGCATGTTGAAAATGAGCAAAGTTATATTTTGTTTTTATCAAAATAACTTCTGACATCAGTTATTGCAACAGTGGTCTTATGTGAGACAGATTCCTTTAAATTATTTGGTGAAAATAATTTGAAGCCCAATCTACGTAACGATAACAAATTAGTTTATTTCTTCCTTAACTTTTCTACAAATTGTCTTCACTTATACACTATTGTACCATATAGGCTTACGTTTACAAATGACGTTCCAACGGAAATACCTCGTTAGTGGTACTAAGACTAAAATAAAAAACAAAATATGTGTACAATTTCACGACTAATCGATCGAGTAACTGAATATACGCGATAACCAACACTGATACAAATATTCACTAAATCTAAATACTTCATTGAACTAAGCTGTCCGACTCATTGCTCACTGGTCCTCATATTTATAACTGATGTCTCACTTCTAGATAGTGGTCGAAGTTACTGGATTTTCGTGACGTCATCTAGAACATTCTTGTTGCTCTAGTACTTATTTGCTCTTAACATGACGCACCCTCTAGCTAACATATAAAGTAAAATATTGAAAATGTAGTTTATAACAGTTTAAACTATAAGGTTAAGGTGCAGAATTTTTCCATCCCTTTCTTTCAAACAAACACACAAGTCAATTATAAAACAAATAACTAAACACGTATAGAACAAACTCATCTCCGTTACTAACTTATAACAGTTAACAACGAAAGGATAATATTGTGCCTTAGTGTTGTGCGAAAGGCCTCTTCGGCACTAGTTATAACAGGTACAATGTGGTTGATATATTGTCATACATTCTTCTTTACTTTCACTCATAGGTTCTTAGATTGTACCGAAAGGAAAATTAAAACTATGCCAAAACATTATTGCAAGAACTCCGATTATTAATAAAAACCAGGGGGCCATTTTAAATGCCATTAAACTATCCATGAGCTACAAAATCAGCTAAAAGAATCTTTACGTGAATTTAAAATTGGAGAGATACGTTTTTCCAAAGTCACAGCCACAATAACATTCACATTATAGCAATTCTAAATCAACTTTAAGTTTAAGTAATTTTACAGAAATAAATTTTTGGGGTAATTAAGGCCGTTAAAGTTTTTTAACATAAACTATATTATTTTTCGTGGAATTAACAACTCATTTTGCCAAATCTTCATTTGATAACCTAAAACATGCGAAAACCGACACACCTCTTGACAACTTTTTTTGCGCATAATCTAAATTGCGATACTTTCAATCGTTAAAATTCTAGCGTAATTGCGAAAAAATATCCAGTAATTAACGTATAATGCTAATGTTTTCCCTATCAGCGTACTTCTTACAGGCAAATATTAAAACACAGTATTCTGAGTAAACCTATTTGCGACTGAGTAAATATTTTGAGATTTATTACAGTATGTTTGTTTGTTTGTTTTTAACTTTGCACAAAACTACACAAGGGCTATCTGTGCTCTGCCCACCACGGGTATCGAAACCCGGTTTCTAGCGTTGTAAGTCCGCAGACATGCCGCTGTGCCACTGGAGGGGCTTATTACAGTACAAAGCTCAGCTTAACATCTCGTCTACGTGGATTCACGCCACTGTATATCCCAAGTACTTAAGGTAAGGCATATTTTGTAATTTGATTCAAATATGTTATCAATTATTACTATTACAAAAGGTATTTCTTAACACTTAAAAGATTAGTTATGGTTACTAAATAATTACAAAATCTGGTGGTAGTGAGTTTATTATTATTATATAAAAATAAATGTATGGTGATTTATTTTTCAAACCTTTACTACTAGGACATTATATACAGAGTAAGGCATGATAACGTATTTAAATGGATACTTAGATTTAAAAAAAAAGTCGTGTTCTACCTACCGCTGGTTTGAAACCTAATTTTTTTGCGTTATAAATTATAAGCTCACATACTTGCCTCAGAGCTATTGGGAGAGGTGGGGAGCAAAAATGACGTAAGCGAGTTATTTAGTTAATCACGAAAAGCACACGTGCCGCAAGTACTGTTTCAAACTAAACCTTAAAACGAGATTCTGTGTATTAGTCGTAATAGTTTTAAATTAAAATATATTTTCCTACTAAAGTAACAGTTATACTTAAAGTATCAAATCATATCATAATTAAGAAACAAAATTAGGAAAGAAGGCAAGTTCTGTCTCATTTGCGAATCCATACGAAATTTAATGTCAAAAACCCATCCTTTTGCGAGTTATAATAACACGACTTATCAGTGCCTACTCTTGGGTTCCAAATGATTGTACCTGTAGTCTATACGATTATTAATTTTCAAGAACTTTTCCACCCTGCACGACGCTTAGTTGGGCTTACACGATTTTGTTTTCGGTTATCTTTAAGGAACAACACAAAATTCAATTTCATACTATGATTTCGACCTGCACAATCATTAAATTTCAAGTCTGAATTTTTCCATCCTGCACTATTATTTGGAACACGAGAGTACATAACCAACTTTTGAGATCTATTATATATTAAGTATTAAGTTGATCCATTATAAGTATTAATAATTTTGTTTTAAAATTGCAATTCGTTAGAATAAGCTAGTGGTGGTAGCAATAAGCTATCGAGCAAGTATTTAATTAACGGGTTTATACTATTCTATAAATTGGCACAGAATTTTTTATTCCTTTGTTTTAAAAAAATACCAAAGTCAATAATATAAATATCTAAACTCGTGTTGAAAAACTCGTCTCCGTTTCTATGGTGTAATTAAAATACATGATACAATAGTCAGTCATGGTGAAGGAGAAGGCCCATCACCATGTTATTTTTTTTTGCAAATAAGTATAAGGTCTCCACTGTCCATATTCATTTTTGACTTGTAATAAATGAATAAAGGTAACTTATAAATTAAAAAAAATGTTTGTTATAAAATTTCAAATACATTTATCTTACTATATCTGTGTAGGTATTAACATGCTGAATATTAACATGGACTGATGGAGAGCTGAGTGTCCTTCTTCAAGTTTCAACATTACCAAATAGTCATCAAAAGAATAAATAATAAGAACCTTCGTTAAACCACCTAGTTTTTGTTTGACTTTAAAGTAAGCCTGTGTTATTCAAAAACGGTGAAAATCAAAATACATAAAAGTAATTCATGCTTGTATTAACACTAACCAAAAGCGCTTGTAGTTAAGTGTTAGTAACAATGGCAGAAACCATTAGATGAATTCCTATTGGCACAGTCTACTATCATCTAACACTACTGCTGTAAAATTGAGTGTAATATTACTAACAAACAGGTTAATACATGGCAATACGCCACCTTTTTCTTTGCTCTTGTCTCTACCGAGACACTGTTAATGTTATTACTATAATACTAGTTGTTCGTCAGGTTATGCCCAGTGTCGGTTTATATAAACTTACCTGAAGAAATATTTCTTATGTGGTTATACTCAAATCATAAAAAAAACTATGTTATATTATCGTATTCCAAAGTGCACTGTTACAAAATATTAATTACGCCTACCTTCACAACGTCGTATTTCACCTTTTGTTTTTCGGTTATGCCTACTTTTGGGTTCGAAGTTAAGGTATACATCCTTCGCACTAACACACGGAGGATTCTCAAAGCACTTTGTTCGATGGCGAAACGTCCTATCTTACAAATGTGCTCGATATTTTCTTTAGGAGAAACAGAAATTTCATGTGACGATTACACATTAAGAAATATCAAGAAAATATATATTAACACCTTAGGTTTTAAAATATCATTGCAACTGCAGTAACCGTCGATGACATTTTGTGCCACTCAAACCTTCTCGTACAAACCCATCCCGCAGTCTTTTTGGCATAGTGCCATAATGCAGTCTCAGCTGACAGCCAACAAGCTTGTTCTGTCGAAGGGAAAGTTCATTATCTATAAACAGGAGGGAAGCGTTATAATACTGTATTAATTAAAGGTAAAGAAACTATTCCAAACAACCATTTACCCAAACTATTTGAATATACAATAATGCTGAACCAATGCGTACGTTGTTTGAGAAGTTTAAACAATAAATGACTACGAGTCTTTTGTATGCAAAGACAGACATCTTCAGCATAGAAACGCGATTATTTTAATAACAATATTACTCAAACATTGCATTGTTACAAAACCTGGGCTGCACGATCTGGCCTCCATAAAATATATCGATATATCTTTAAAATTTCCTGAAATTTACTTTCAATTTGCATCTGAAACAAGATGTTTTCCATAAAGATATATGTTCAGTTATGTTCTTCATCTAAAGAAGGAAAATAAAAGAGCTGTTACGTCTCCGTTTGTTAATTGATTTTCAGTAACTTCGTTCCGACGAAACTTAAGCGACACAAGTCCTTTCTTAATAAAACTGGTTTATTCTTTCCGAATATAATTTTACCGATACACTCAACTTCAACAATCGCGCTAAAACAAACGCTAATCAACGAACGTCAACAATACTTCTGACTGCAGTTCAATTACTCACTATCTACACACACATTACATTACCGCGTCACGTTGTACCCCTCTTATATATACCAGCCTACCCTATCTAGAAAATACTAGAGCATTCGCCAAAGTACAGGATAGTTCTAGAACGTGGCGTCACGGTAGTCATGTGACTCGCTGACGCAACACTGCCCCCTCCTTAATATTGTTCGTCCCGAACAATAACCACATATCATAAACCAATAACAATTAACAATAACTTAATTAACTGTACAGAATTACAAACACAAAATTACAATTCAACAAAGTCTCTTAATTTT